GCAGTTTGGTGTGAGACCCCAAAGCAAAGAACCCACTTAAGATATGCCTGACCCCACAAAAACTGTGAGATAATAAATGTGTGTTGTTTTAAGCTATTAGCTTTGTGGTGATTTGTTCTGCAGCACAGAAAACCAACACAGATACTAGTACAGACATAACATGCCTAAAAACCAAATTCCTGATTGCCAACATTCCCCCAAAAAGAAAACGGAAAACATCCTCCAGTGTTGTCAATAAATGGCAATTATATATATACATGTGTGTGTGCATATATATATATATATATTTTTTTTTTTTTTTTTTTGAGACAGGGTGGGTCTACACTATGTTGCCGAGGCTGGTCTGGGACTCCTGGGCTCAAGCAGTCCTCCCACCTGAGCCTCTCAAGCAGATGGGATTACACGCATGCACTACCATGCCCAGCTCAAGTAATTTCATTCTTACAGTTGCTCATACCAAAACTGTGACATCAATCTTGGCTCCTTCCTTTATTTAAAACTCCACATCCAATCCAAAAGCAAATACTATTGGCTTTACAACCAATATATATCCAGAATCTTAACTTTGTCTCATCACTACCACAGCTACCACATTGGTACAAGCCATTGTCATCTCCCATGTACTGTAATGCCTTCTAACTGGTTTTCCTGTTTCTACTCCACAAAACAGTCTGAGGGATTCTTTTAAGATATGCCAGATAATGTTTCTACTCAAAACACTCTAAAGGTTCCCCATGTTACCCAGATGAAAACACAAAAATATTACAGTGGCATATGCCCTGCATTATCTGGCACTCTCTCCTCTTCGCACCCCAACCCTCTCTGCGTCATCCTCTATCAGTCTCTCTCCTAACACACTGGCCACCTCGGTGTTCCTTGACCGTATCAAGCACATATTAGTCTCACAGTTTTATAACTGTTGGTCCATATAATTGAACAGGTATTTCCTCAGACATATGTCTCTGACTACCTTGTATAAAAAGAGAAGTCCCCTGTCCTCCACCACAAACTCCCTCTCTCTCCTATCCTGCTTTGTCTCCATGGCACATATTACCAACTGATATGTTTTGTTGCTCGTCTCTCCAAAATTAGAATATAAGTTCCAGGAGAGCTGAGACTTTTGTTCACTGCTATATCCCCAGTTTATACTGAATTATTGTAAAATACTGTTTCCTTTACGTAATTTTTTTTTTTTTTTTTAGACAGGATCACGCTCTGTTACCCAGCCTGGAGTGCAATGGTGCAATCACGGCTCACTGCAGCCTTGACCTCTAGGGTTCAAGTGGTCCTCTCACTTCTGCCTCCTGAGTAGTTAGAAATACAGACAAACGCCTCCACACCTGGCTAACTTTTTAAATTTTTTAGTAGAGACAGAGTCTCACTATGTTGCCCAGGCTGGTCTCAAACTCCTGGGCTCAAGTGATCCTCAGTATCCCAAAGTGCTGGGATTATAGGTGTGAGCCATCGTGGCCAGCCATTTTTTTTTTTTTTTT